GGTGATACTGTTTTCTTGTCTCTTGGACGCTGTTCTCACTTCCCCGGTGCCCCTTTCCACAAAATGAAAGATCCTGAGTCTGCCTTGCACTTGTTTTTCTAATTCCCCCCACACAATGATAATTTAAATATTCTGTAGCTCCTGATTATGTTGGAAATGTATATTAATGGCTTTCGTATGATAGAAACATTTAGTGGATACTTTGTTATTACATTTGAAATGTTTTGAATTTTCTGAGCATCAGCCATTATCATAGTATGTGACTATAAAAATGTCTTCCAAAGCAAATAGGATGAATTAGGTTTGGAAGCGATATCACAGCAAAATAGATAAATAAATAAAAATCAATGAATTGAGATGTGAAGGGCTTCGGTTGTAATTTAAATTTACACTAAGAAGGCCTTTTGTGCTTGTTGTCTAATTCAGAACATAATTATTATTAATCTTCTTAGGAACAAAATGAGCACAAACTATATCACATAAACAAACTGTCAAGACTTTTTACTCATTTTGATAGCTAGAATATCATTTTCTTCCCTTAAAGGTGTGTTTTCTTTTAATGGCCAGGCTCTGTGTGCCGCTGTCGTGAAGTCAGATGTTCTGGAAACGATGGCTTTGCTGTTCAGTGGAGCGGATGTGATGTGCGCCACTGGAGACCCCGTGCACAGCACCCCCTACCTGCTGGCCAAGAAGGCGGGTCAGAGTCTGCAGATGGAATTTCTCTTTCACAACAAGTTCTCAGGTTTGTCTCTCTGTCTGCAGTAACCTGGCGCTTCTGATCTCTCCCTTAACGTAGTGAAGCATAAATCTGTTTATTTCTCAAATAAGAAAAACCTGTCAGAAAGAAGAAAATGTAATTACCAAAAAAAGATGGAGGATGCATAAGCCTGCTTTTGTATCGTTTTGAGAAAAAAGTTTAGGAAATAAATCTTTTCTATTTCTTTAATCTTATAAGTGGAAGATTAAAATAGTTAATCCCACATAATCATTTCCACCAAAATTAAATCCGATTTTCATATATGAATAATAAACACGACTTAAGTGCTTATTGGCAAATTTTATGCAAAGCATAATAAAACAAATATCTCTCTGTATTTGTTCTGTGGTAAATTTAAAGTAGTTTTTCCTCTAGCTCAAAACTCATGTACATATTCTTAAACAAAGGGAAAGTTGTCCAGATTTTAAATTTCAAGTGTTGTATATTTTAAATTTTTCTAGATTTTCCTCAGCATGACCTTCATTCTGAGGGTGGATTAACTCAAGAGTCTCCACAGACCACCTTCCTCTGTGAGTTTTTGTATCAGGCTCCTGCTGCTGCTTCCAAACTCTCTTCAGAGAAAAAACTGCTCGAAGGTATCTTTTCTGCTTCATATAGATTTTGTTATCTGAGAAAACCTTATTCCATTATCAGAACAATTAGGTTTAAATTTTGATTTTTTTCCCTGAAAATGTTTGATTCGATCTTGCAGTTGAGAGATACCGTTTTGAGTGTTTGTAAATGCTTCCAGGCGCTGGCGTGATTCATGTACAGCAGCAGGGGTTTACCTCTGAGTTGCAATGCTGAGTGAATTCTCACTAGCATTCTCTGATGTCTACCTTCGGGCTAAGTGATGGTGTTACAGTTTTTAAGGATTATTGAAAAAAAAAAAGCACAACTCAGTCCCTTCCCTTAGGGATGGACACCCCAACTGGAGAGATAGTACAGATAAATGTGCAAGTGCAGAACAAGCTGGCCGGTGTTGTGGACATACTCGCAGTACTAAGTGGTGTCACGTCGTTCAGTTTCTCCTGATGAGGGGGGTGTGTATTTAAGTAAAGTAAAACTTAAGCTTGGTGTCACAGAAGTGGATGGGAATCACTTTGATTTAACATCAGGTCTGGAGAACTCTCTGAGGTGAGTCATGATGGACATTCCTCCATTCTCCCATTTCTCCATCCAACTCTGTGTCCACTTGTGCTGGGCCCTGGGAGTGTAGAAATAAGTAAGATCTAAGCCTCATGCTCACGTTACGTGCAGTGGTCTCCGAGGTTTTTGTCACAGGGACTAGCTTCGTGGAAGACAATTTTTCCATGGACTTGAGAGGAGGGGTTCGGATGGTTTGAGGGTGGTTCAAGCACATTGCATTTACTGTGTACTTTATTTATATTATTACACTATAATATATAATGAAATATTCATACAACTCACTATTATGCAGAATCAGTGGAAGCCCTGAGCTTGATTTCCTGCAACAAGGTGGTCCCATCTAGGGGTGACAGGAGACAGTGACATCTGAA